AATGAACGATGTTGTAAAGAGCACATTTTTGTATAAATGAACTGAGAACTCATTTTACTACTACGTTAACATATGTTGTAATATGTCGCATTAGGACTTATGGCCGCATAGCAGTTTGCAACACACCCTTAATGTACTAAGAAAAAGATGAAACAATTCCTGTGTAAATACTACTTCATCAAAAAAAAAATCCTATGTTAAAACTTTGCAGCAGTTTTCTGCTCTTTAGAAACAATACTTTTACCATTCTAAAATAAGAAAAGGATGAAACAATACCAAGTTGGTGCTGCTCTTTAGGGAAGATCAAATATACTTAAAGTAATTTAGTCATAAACATGAAGTGCGTGTTACCCATCCTTATGATTAGTTACTGCTCTGAAGAGCTTAAAATATCAATACAATCATGTATACCATTTACATCATTTTGATTACACAAATAAATAAGTCCTAACACAACCCTCAGGGGTTGGCCTGCTGGCAATTGACTTGAGCCTTGGGGTTTGCTCCCTTTCAAGGTCTCAAGTTCGAAACCCACTGGGTGCAAACAATTTCTGAGGGCCATCGGACTGGGTAAAACCTGAATTAACCGTGGTGCACTTGCGGGAAACTCCTTGCCGAGGGCCTGTGCACCCCCGGGATTAGTCGGGGCTCAAAGAGACTCGCACCCGGTGCAAATAAAAAAAAAAAAAAAAAAAAAAATAAGTCCTAACACATCTATATTTGCAGCTTCCACAAGATACGAAAAGGAGTTGTGTCTTAAAGTTTCTCAACATTTACACCACTAGGTAGCCCCTCTAGATAGTTGAACAGTCTCGCGGTTCTTAGCATCACCCAAGATGGCCCCATACAACAAAGGGAACATAATACTTAGTGTCCTCGCTGAGTTTAAACGTTCTTTAGATATTTGCTCATTGGAAGAGAGGAACTTGAGAGTCATGCATGTAAATGTATGCATAACTTCATTTTATTCTACACTTATCCCGAAAAAAATCATTCTGTTCTAGATTCGGAAGTTTCACCTCTACGAAACCTCATATCTGAATAACAATGTGTTCATACTCTAAAAGCTAGATGCCTAGTCAATCTGTTTAGTTGGAACATTTTGTCTCCTTTTAATAGCGTTGACAGCTTTTTGGATTTTGTTAGATCTTTGATTGATACTCATACTAGCTTAGTACTCATATAAGGAAACTAACTCTCTTTCTTTGTACACTGTTTCCTTTCGCATCACCCTGGTGTTCTTTAATGAAATCCTTTACTTCATAAAAAAAACCCAACAACAATGTATCCATATATACTCCCTCTGTTCCAATTTTTGTGTTATACTTTCCTTTTTAGTCTATTCCAAAAGAATGATACCTTTCTTTATTTAGAAATAGAATAATTTCTTTACGTTTTCCATTTTACCTTTAATGAGATGATTATAACTATGACTTGTTTTAGACCAGAAGTTTCAAAAGTCTTTTCTTTCGTTCTTAAACATTGTGCCAGTCAAAGTGAATCACATAAATTGGGATTTGGGACATAGGGAGTAATACATTAAAGTCTTTATCAAATGTAATAGTCAAAGCTTTCTCTTTTGGCAACATGTACTAGCAGTAGTGTAAAAACGAAGAAGAAAAAAGAACATTTCATGTATTCCTTTTGTTTTTATAAAAAATAACAAAAAGTACATGTGTGTTGCTGTGCACAAGATAATCCTCAGCTTTAGATCCTGAAGTTAATGAGCCATGCTGTGTTTTAAACTAAAGTAAACTTTCCAGGCCTATCATCTTCTCTGACTGTTCCCCAATAATTTTAGACAAGCAAAGAAGAGGATGTTTCACCACTTGAATGAGTGTATGCATGGCTAAATGCAGGGTGGTCATATTATCCTTATTATTCTGATGCTAAGCATTTAGTATTGTACGAAAATTTGCATAATAATACTGGTCAGTGTAGAGCCTTAAATGGCATTATGTGCATCTAGCTTAGCGTATTACACTATTACCCACTTCTGCTACATAATCAAATCTGAGTTTTGGTATTTAATCATATGGTTCAGGTATGGCCACATGATTGATAATGTTGTCCTAATTGTCACTGGAACTTTGCATGAGAGAGATGTCCAAGAACTGTTGGAGAAATGCCATCCTTTGGGCATGTTTGACAGGTATTATTCCAAATGCTTGCATTGGATTATTAGAGCTAAATGAAAGCATGTATTGACTATTCTAATTTATTCTGTAGCATTGCTTCTCTGGCAGTTGCCCAGAATATGAGGGAACTATACAGGCTGGTGCTTGTTGACACACCCTTGGCTCCATACTTTTCTGAGTGCATTACTTCAGAGGTATCAAATGCTTCACCCTTTACTTTAAAACTTTGATAGGTAATCAGTAATTACATGTTTCGTTTCCCCCAAAAATGTTGCCTTATTCCTGTATTTTCTTGAGCATCGACCTTTTCTATGTTTGCTGTCCCTCTGAAGAAATTAATAAGTAAATGATTGTAGGCTCTTGCACTTCATAAGTAGTTAACCAGGATCCTCTTCCCCACTTTTTACCAGAGCCTAGTATTCTGTCGAGATTTCTTGCAGTTTTGAGGATGATACTCATCTTATTTTTGTATACTCCAAGTAGGTCTGGTTGTTGATATGGGAATATCTTAATCCATGCATCAGTTGCTTATCAGTCTGTTTTCTTCCATTTATCAATATTTTTGTTTTCTTTATGGACTTACTTTTGAGCAGGACTTGGATGACATGAACATTGAGATTATGAGAAACACACTGTACAAGGCATACCTTGAAGATTTCTACAGATTTTGCCAGGTACTGTTTGTTGTAAAATTTTCTATCATATTTTTCCTGCTCTACATTTTAATGAATTTTAGCACTCATTTCACTTGTCTAATATGATTATTTGCAGAAATTAGGCGGTGCAACTGCAGAAATCATGTCTGATTTGCTTTCTTTTGAGGCCGACAGAAGAGCTGTTAATATTACTATAAACAGGCATTTCACTGTTTTGGGATTTCCCATGATCCTGCTGAATAAAGTTTATTATGTACCTTGTAATAATGCTTCTATTATTAACTACAAATATTTTCATTTGCAGCATTGGCACTGAGCTAACGCGTGATGACCGCAGGAAGTTGTACTCTAATTTTGGATTACTGTAAGTTCATGTAGCTCAATCATTCATGTTCTTCATATGCTACATTACCTCTCTTTCTGACACTATCTATGCTAAATAGTTACCCGTACGGTCATGAGGAACTTGCCATATGTGAAGATATAGATCAGGTATTGTACGACCAACTCTTGTTTATTCTTCTTGTTGCAGCTTTTATGCACCTGGAAGATTCTTTCCCTAGTTAAATATATAGTTAGCTAGATAAGGAGATTCTTATTGTGGTTGGGTACTACATTGCATACAGTTCTCGCCCTTTAAAAAAAGTGGTGAAGCATCATATAGTGCCTGGTGGGTTTAATGCTATTTGAAGGGAGAGGATGGATGAGAGGAAGATAAGACAAAATGAAAAGATACAAGCAAATTAATACTTTTGTTGTGACAACTAAAAGTTATAATGAATTAATGACAAATTAAAATTAAAATTCTTTAGTCTTCTATCCTCCTTACATGGACTGTTGTCTTCTAATTGTCCTTTTCTTCTTGCTGTAGGTCCGCGGTGTCATGGAAAAGTACCCCCCTTATCAATCCATATTTTCTAAGTTGTCATATGGGGAGAGCCAGATGCTCGACAAGGCTTTCTATGAAGAGGAAGTGAAACGCCTTTGCTTATCTTTTGAACAACAGGTTTGTTCATTTGACCAATCTTTATTGTTAATCCTCTTATTTGTACCGAAGAACTTCAAAATTTTCCCACCCAAAAACCTCATAAAAAGAATCCCCCAGAGATATGCAGCAGAAAAACCTTTCAATCCGTCTGCTTCCTTATTGATACTCTTTTCTTTTCATTGCAGTTCCACTACGGTGTATTTTTCTCATATATAAGGCTGAGAGAGCAGGAGATAAGGAACCTGATGTGGATTTCTGAATGTGTGTCTCAGAACCAAAAAACCAGAGTCCATGACAGCGTTGTTTTCATATTTTAGTAATTTAGCCATATTTGAGATCATGTGCTCTCCATGCTTGTCTGTAAATTTGATTTTCACGACCATTTGTTGATAACTATTGAGTTTTTGGTTAAGAAGGCCAGACCCTAGCCCCGTAGGAGGGGGTTACAGTAATTGTGAGGCCATTCTCTGTGGAACTACCCATATCTCCTATGTCTTTCCTAAGTCATAGGATGATGGTTGCAGTTATGCACGGATATTACCCAGTTCGTTTGCAACTTTTCCTAATAAGTCAATGTATGTTGGTATAATTGTTATCTGGAACGATACTTGGATTGATTTGTATCAATGTATCGCTATTTATTGAGTTCGCTGCTATCATATTACCTGATTTCATTGTATGGGTATTTTTCATTGAGCTACAAGTCACCTGCTTGAACTTGTCAAGTAGAACCATTAGACTTCATGTTGGTGTTGATATGTCCTTTCTAAATTATCTTTTTCTTTGTTTAGTGCAACTCAAGACTATTGACACTACACGACCCTTTCTAGATCTCACTTTGTGAGATTGTACTAGGTATGTTGTTGTAACTCTAGACTATCCCTTCGATTCGTCCTTTTCCCACTTTCTTAGTATGAATCTTTTTATCCTTTTTTTATGTGTTGTGTGCTTAATTTGAACCTTGCCTATGATTATAGATAGCAATACTTTGAATCTTTCCTATTCTGCTCTTTCCATGAACCAATTATAGTGAAGTATAAGAAAGATTTCAAGTATAAATATATGTAGAAAACCAAATGAAGAAAAAGGGACCAAAAAGTGATGAAATCAAGAGTTATTATTATTCCAATTACACTTGCATAAATTCTTTCCCCATAATATAAACCAATTATTCATTTATTCTCTTGAAGTAGGCAAAGTTCTATGTTCACAACTGGATCAAACTAATGTTAGAATTGTCCAAACTAAAACCACACCTCCAACAAAGATCTTGTATGCAGATATAGTAACCTTGTATGAATTATTTGAAGCATCCTTAGTAGCCGGTCCCGGTGCAGGGATGGGAGTTGCCGGTGCCGGAGCTTCGCCTTCCACGGTGATGACAAGCTTTTGGTTATGGTCAGAGCAATGTGATGGAAAACCACAAATGTACCATTTTTTACCAGGAGTGGCTAATGTGATCACATCATGACCAGAAGTTAATCCTCCACTTGAAGGGACTATGCAGTCTTTGAAAGATGTTTGGTTCACTTTGAACACATTATGATGTCCTTTGGTAAATTTAAAAACTGCAAGAAAAGATAGAAAGTAGTTATATGCTTTATATGAACTAATTTAGAAAAGGAAAAGAAAGAAGAATTAGTAAAAGTTATCAGAGGAAGATTTGGTTTTGTAGCTCTTTACAGACTTATTGTTAATTTTATTATCCGTTTCACGAGAAATCTTCTTTGTAAACACATGACTTTATAAAAATATGAAGTGATATAGTTCTCTCATATTAGATGGACACTTTCTATTTTACACGATAATTAAGAAATCATATATTTGATATTGGACACGAGGGACAGAGGGAGTAATATTACCGTGTAAAATAGAAAGTGTCCATCTAATGAATGGTCATGCTACCAAGAAAACCCTCCACCTTTAACCAACAATTTCAAGTTGGTTTTTTTCTTTAAAGATCATACGCGCCATAAATTCAAATTAATCGGCTAATGACTTTCGTACACCAAATGGTTACTAAAAAGGGGGACTTTTACATAAATAGTCAATCAGATTCATTGTTTACTTTTTCTATCTGATATACATGAATTATAATACATACCTAATGTGTCTCCAACCTTGAAATTTTTGCCCTTGGCCCAAGCTTGATAATCAACATCAATGGTCCATCCCTTATCACCTCCAACCCAATACTCCATGGCCGGTACCGGTGCCGGTGCCGGAGCTCCACCTTCGACGGTGATGACCAGTTTTTGGCTATAATCAGAACAATGTGTTGGAAAACCACAAATGTACCAATGTTTACCAGGGCTAGCCAATGTAATAACATCATGGCCAGAAGTTAAACCTTGACTTGGTGGAGGGACTATGCAATTTTGGAAAGATGTTTGGTTCACTTTGAACACATTGTGACTATCTTTGTTATACTTGAAAACTGCAATTACAAAGCAAAAAATAATAGTTTTAAGGGAAATTTACCCTATAATAAACGTCACTCAAAATAATAGCTGACAAATATACATTTTCTTGATAAATTTGGTAAAATTATAATTAACGTGCTATCACAAGTTAAAAAATCATTGATAATATAAGAAACTACACTACTAATATATATAACTTAAATTCATTATATATCAGAGTAATTGCGCAGGCTAGCCACTTTTCATCCTTGTAATTGAAAATAGTCATTATCGTTGAATTTGATATTCTATAGTTGATAATATCTTGGAGTTTCAAATTTCATGACAATAGCTATTTTTCAATTATCGGGGGGGGGCTGAAAATGGCTATTTGTGCAATTTATTATACCTAATGTGTCTCCAACTTTGAAAGTTTTGTCCTTGGCCCAAGCTTGATAATCAACATCAAGGGTCCAGCCCTTTTCACCTCCTACCCAAAATTCAGTTGCCTTTGTAATTTCTGGCAAAAATCCTAAAAACCCAATCATAAAACAAAAAATAATTTTTGAAGCCATGGAAAATATTTTGTTTTAAATAAAAACTTTTTGGATGTGTTGAAATAAGAAAAATTGGTGTGGTTATTTATAGCTTAATATAACAACAAAATTTATTGAGAATGACAAATTGATTCCATTGAATTCTAAGTACGTGAACCCCAATGAATTAACAAAGTTGAAATATTCCATTGATATTCTCGTAAAGTTCAAAGAAGTGAAGAGGATAATAACTAAGTATCGACCGACATAATTTCTGATAGGATGGTTTAGGATATTTTCATTCTTAACTAGAAGTTTTATGTTCGAGTTTGTAAGTGAAAAGATCTTGATGGGCAATTTGAAACTTGTAGAATCATACTTTCTAAAAATAAAAATAAAAATTGATGGGTGATTTGAAACTTGTAGTTATACATCAATCTCAAGGAGTTATAAAAAAAACATTCACCTGCTTGATATGAATCAATATACTCCTTGAGATCGATGTATATAATTCTAGAAGTTTCAAATCACCCATCATTATTTCACTCTAAAAATTAAAGACGATCCATTATTTTCCCATTTAAACTTTAAGAGACGTATACCAAAGAAACATGATAAATAATTTAAGACGAGAAGAGTAAAACAAGAAAAAAAATGCAAAAGAGTGTGAGCATAAACGGACTAATATTTCTTTGATTTCTTCTCCAAAAAAATACATGAATCCGCTTGCCGGTATAGTAATAAGGAAATCCGAAAACAATCAAGAAAAAAGCTCCAAAACATTAAAGAAAAAAAATCAGGAAATGGCCCAGAGGGCAGACTAATCTACACAATAATATTTCATCAGCAATACAAATTATTAAAATCAACAGAAAAAGTATCTCATTCAAGTTCAATGACCACCATATAGTTGATTCAAGAATCCTCCAGTGGCATATTCAACTCACTTGGCGCTGGCGAGCTGAGTGCGGATGGTCTTGGCTGCAGACACCATGTTTTGTAGGGCTGGCTTCACCTCGGTGTACTTGCGAGTCTTGAGACCACAGTCGGGGTTCACCCACAAGATGTTGGTCTCAAGAACTGCAAGCATCTTGTTAACTCTGTCAGCAATCTCTTCGGTTGATGGTATTCTTGGAGAGTGGATGTCGTAGACACCAGGGCCAATGCCAGCTCCGTATTTCACTCCCTCCCTGAAAACTGAGAGGAGCTTCTCATCAGAACGTGAGTTCTCAATGGTGATCACATCAGCATCCATGTCGATGATGGAGTGGATAATGTCGTTGAAGTTGGAGTAGCACATGTGAGTGTGGATCTGTGTGGTGTCCTGGATACCGACGTTGGTGATTCTGAAAGAGTGAACAGCCCAGTTCAAGTAGGAAGTGTGCTCAGCCTTCCTAAGAGGCAATCCCTCTCTCAATGCAGCTTCGTCAATTTGGATGACAGTGATGCCGGCCTTCTCCAAATCCTCCACCTCATCCTTAATGGCCAAAGCAATCTGGTAGCAGGTCTCAAACCTGAAAAAAGCAATAATGGCGGTTAGCGTCGAGTTCATTACACATGAACAGAGAACGTTTAAACTTCAAATTAGAAGTGGGGTGCAAAAGTTACCTAGGTTGGTCATTTCTGACAAAAGACCAGTTGAGAATGGTGACAGGGCCAGTAAGCATTCCCTTCATTGGCCTCTTGGTCATCTCTTGAGCTTTTGAGGACCAGAAGACGGTCATTGCCTTTGGGCGGCTCACATCACCATAGATGATTGGTGGCTTCACACATCGAGATCCATAAGATTGAACCCATCCATTGGCAGTGAAAGCAAAACCAGAGAGCTGCTCTCCGAAGTACTCAACCATATCGTTCCTCTGCATACATCAAGCATTGAAACTTACTAACCCATAATTATGCATGCAAGTGTGTGCATAAGGAAACAAAAGACGCAAAACATGTATGGAAGTAGAGGTAAGCAGGTAAGTGCCCTACCTCAGGCTCTCCGTGAACCAAGACATCAATGTCAAGTTCTTCCTGGAGATCAACAACCTTCTTGATTTCCTCGGTGATGGCCTTAACATACTCCTCCTCAGAGATCCTATTAAAAAATGAATTATGAGAAAAGATATTCAAGAACACCAACAACAAGAAGCAGAAAACAAGTATAACACTGACTTCTTGGCCTTGTATTCCCGACGAACTCTCCTAAGCTCCACTGTCTGAGGGAAGGATCCAATGGTGGTTGTGGGCAGGATTGGTAGGTTAAGCTTCTTTTGTTGGGCATCGAGTCTAGCACTAACATTTGTAGCACGGCGGTGGTCAGATCCTTGAAGAGCAGCAGACTGAGATATCGTAAGAGTAAAAAGGTGGTAAGTAAAATATGAGACAAGTCATTGATTAGAAAGAGAATTATGTCCTTCAGTTCAACACTTACAGCCTTTCGAACAGCTTCATTTGTCACTCTTGGGGAAGACTTCCTGGAAGCTTGAGCAGCAGCATTAGCAGAGAAAAATGCCTAAAAGTACAACAAACACATTTAGACGCTATGCAAAAACTCTGTCAAGAATAATAGTTGTAGAAAAAAAAAAAACATTTTCCGAAGACCTTTTAGTTAAGAACAAACTATATACCTCATCCTTGGCACCTGACAATGCCTTGGCCAAAGCATTCACTTCAACAACCTTCTGGGCAGCAAATGCCAACCATGATTTGATTTCATCATCTAGTTTTGTCTCGTTGATCAGATCAACAGCAGTGTGGAGCAGGGAGCAAGATGTAGAGGTAACAAGCTTGTCTGCATAATTGAATATGATAAGGAATTATCTTCTGCGATAAATCACCAACGGAATCACTACCAACTATCAAGTTATGAGGTAGGAAATGCATTACCTTTTCCTACAACTCCCTCAAGAGATTGCAGGAGAGCAAGAGATGCAGCAAGATCACTTGCCCAGATGTTCCTTCCGTCAACCACTCCTGCAAACAAGTACTTGCCTGAAGGGAAGCTACTCTTGATTAACTCAAGGGTCTGAGTTCCACGGACCAAGTCAAAGCCAAAGGCAGTAACTCCCTTCAAGGCAGTGAGGGTTTTGAATGCCCCAGCAGGAACATCAGCAAAGTAGGTCTCAACGAGAACATTAAGGCCAGATAGAGATGACTCGAGATCAGCATAGGCCTTGGTGAATGCTTCCAATTTGTGAGACTCTAGATCCAACACAAGTGTGGGCTCATCTAACTGGATCCAAGAAGCACCAGCTGCCTTCAACTCAGCGATAACTTCCCTGTATTGACAATTTTATGTTAAGAGTTTGTCCATTCGGATATAGCATACTGAGGGAGGGAAAATACTTACTTGTAAATTGGAAGGATTTTATCCAAAAGTGACAAAAGGGGGAAAGATTTGTCAACACCCTTAGCAGGCTTGGATAGCAACAAGTATGAAACTGGACCAACAAGAACTGGAACAGTGTCTACTCCTTGCTGCACGAGTAAGAATATCAAGATCAATAATCAATTATCTTATATTCTAATTCCATGCATAAGAACAACAAGATTTAACTATATAGTGCAATTGGTGCAATGATCTATCAATAAGATCTATGTCATGATGATGAATGATCACAATCATTACATATCATTCCAATAGTCCAAATACCATTCATGTATAATAAAATGAAAAGAATATATAGCAAAAGTCACATACCGCCTTGGCCTCTTTGTACTCATTTACTGCCTTGTGGGAAGCATAAGAAAAGTTAACATCAGGTCCCAACTCAGGGACGATGAAGTGGCTGGATCAAAGAAAGAATTAACATAATATCAGTACACAAACAAGATAATCACGCCTAGTAAAACGATTGGTAGAATTAATTGATGTGTCACTTACTAGTTGGTGTCAAACCACTTGGTCATCTCCATAGCAGGGACGGAGGCATTTCCTCTGGCCATCGAGAAGTAAGTACCGAACTCAATCTCACCACCGGTCCAGTTGTACCTAGATGGGACAGCACCAAGCATTGTGGTTGTGTCGAGCACCTGATCATAGTAAGAGAATGTGTTGCTGGGGATGTACTTAATGCCAGCATCAGACATCTGCTTCCAGATGGATGACCTGAGGTCTGCAGAGACCTTCTTCAAATCCTCAGCACTGCTCTTTCCATCCCAGAAAGACTCGAGAGCGAATTTCAGCTCTCTCTTTGGGCCCATACGGGGATATCCAACAACGTGAGATGCCATTTTTCTGATTCATACGAAACACACAATCAGACATGAAATTCATCATTAATTATAAACCAAACTCATCCTTGATCCACACACTTTGAACACACATTCCACCAAAAAATAGAACACAATAGATATAAAGGATTCATACCGCTGACCCCAATCAGCTCGAAACTACGTTGTTCCAACTCCTAAAAGTATCCTTGATTACTCGTAAGATCTAAAGGATTCATTCAGCTAACCCCAATCAATTTAAAACTACGTTGTTCCGACTCTTAAAAGTATCACTGGTTACTAGTAAGATCTAAGGTTTGAAATTACGTTGCCCCCGACTCTTATAAACATCAACGATACCTCATAACATCCACCAAAGATAATGCATTTTTGAAGGATCTGAACCCCGACAACATTTTTAAAGAGTCCGAGCAACATAGGTTCAAGATCAAGGTGGTTGATGAAGAAACTTAAAAACCTTCAACAAGATTATTTTTTTCTCTTTTTAATGTGATACGTGGTTGAGCATTTTTATATATTGTACTAAACATACACTTACAAAGTACACAATTACAAAAAGCATAGCTTGTCCTTTCTCAGTACAACAAACAAACAGTGAATCAGAACTTAAACAAAGCCAAAATACAAAATTCCAAACTAAAACCGTCACCTAATTGAATGATACACTCATTTATCAGTCATATAAGCTCAAAAACACCAGATCTGATATACATTACTCAATACAAATTAGATCACAAACCCGCTAAATCAGATCTAATCAAACCCCAAACACCTCATTACAGATCTGCAACCCTATATTACAGATCTAAAACTCAATT